TGTGCATTCCAAAACAGGCACACATGACAGAATAACTCAGTCTCAGCCATGTTGAGGCACGATGATGAAGTAGAATATTCTTACCTTTGGTTTTCTTCTATTTTTTTTTTTATGGTCTTCCTCCTGTTCTTACATCCCTACTCTTGAAGCTTATCTGATCCACAGTCTTATTTGTGTACCATTTCTTTTCCTCAGCTAGCTGCTAAAAATCTTTGCTGAAGTATTCACAAATATTAAAGTACAATCATCTCTCAGTATCCCAGAGGAAATGGTTCCAGGACCCACTGCAGATACCAAAATCTGTGGATGCTCAAGTCCCTTACAGAAAATGGAGTAGTATTTGCATATAACCTACACACATCCTCCTGTATACTTTAAATCATCTCTAGATTACTTATATACCCAATCCAATGTAAATGCTTTATAAATAGTTTATATACTGTATTGTTTACGAAATAATGACCAGAAAAAAAGTCTGTACGTGTTTGATACAGACGCAACCATGGCAGGCCCTACTAGGTAGGCCGATGTCAGCAATAACATGACATATTTTTCCCAAAATAGTTTCACTCCTCAGTTGAATCCATGATGCAGAACCTGTGGATGTGTGTGAGTGTGTGTGTGGGGGGCAGGAGTAGTGAGCAACTGTGTTATGAATCTGCATTTTCACATGTGTTGTGTATATTTTCATTTCAAATGAGTGACTGCATGACATGTGGTAAGTCTGACAGTTTGGAGCAAAGCAACTAACTACTCTGCTACCTCAGAAACTCAGCCCTGGGCCTGGTGGTTGTATTATCATGGTTATTGCGGAAAGCGTTTCATGGCGTGGGCTGAGGAGGAAGGGGCAGTGTGTGTGAAGGCTCGCCCGGTCGCCTTCCTGTCTTGTGCCACCCCCACTGCTCATGTCGTGTTGCATGTGAGTGGTAGTCTCTGCGTCTACCATTCCCGATGACATCTTTACTCCCCTTCTCGGGACCCTGGCTCAGGGGAATGTCATCCAGAGGAGCTCCATTACATCTCATTACACCGGTGATGATGGACTCTGGACAGCTAGATTTCTCCTACTCGGAAAGGGGACTATATAAACACTTGGACTGCCATTTTTGAAAGGTCAGAGACCAATATGAGAGGGGCCATGTGGCTTAGGCCAACAAAAGATCATTCTTTGTTTAAAACAGATAAACAAACAAACAAATTAAAGAACAATTTTCCTATCCCCTTCCTTCCACCAGGAGAAAATTATACAAAGAACTTTAAAACTCTGTATTTTGTGTATAATATGCAACCTTCAAAAGAAAGCAGCATGTATCATGGTAAAGAATGCAGGCTCAGACGAGACTGCCTGAGTTTCAATCTGGGCTCTGCTACTTATTTGCTGTGTGACTTTGGGAAATGTTACTTAATCTCTCTGTGCCTCATTTTCCTCAGCTCTAAATGAGGTAATAATAATCCCTACTTCCCATGGTAGTTGGAGGGTCAAATGAGATAATGTAGCTTATGAAGGTGGAATAGTGCCTTGCATATAATGGATTCTCACTAAGTGTTAGGGGTTTGTAGTGGTCATGATGAGGTACTTTTAACATATTTAGCAATGACTTAGGAAACTGAACTTGTTTAAAAGTCACTTTAAGTAGAGAGGCTGGGCTAGCAATTTTTTTTGAAGTGTAAGAGTGATCAAGAACTAATGAGAAGACAGAGTGATATTTAGGCAACGGTACCAGACTTAAAAGCACATAGAAAGTAGAAAAGGGTAGGAGTTTTTTTCACTCCAGTGCATTGTAGTGATTCTCCAGTTGCCTTTGAGAGGTTCTTCCATCCTAAGTTTGCTTAAAAAGTGCTTCTGGCTTTTAGAGTTCTAAGTAGACCCATAAGCAAACTGTTCTAATCTTATTGTTGGTCTCTGATTCCTCTCTCTTCAATTTCCCTCTATTGAAGGAGAAGGCTGGGTTATTACTGGAAGTGGGGAAGGGTTACGATAAGGAGTCAAATTAGCCTCTTAGACGACAAAGGGTCCTATTTTTAGTCACAGCATCATTCAGATATTGTCCAGAGCCTCCTTTATAAAGAATGAACAAACCCTTTGAGCAGAAGATCAAAAAAAGCGATGGATCCAAGCCTTCTTAGCTATTAGTTTTCATAGGGTGGCAAGTTTTGCCTAACTTTAGAATATTATTTTAACTTTTTGCCACGGCAACCTTGAGTTTTAGGCTGCTGGCGATGCAATCTCTTAGGATGGTTCCAGAAAGTGACTTTGGAGCCACTTAGGGAGATGGATGTTTTTCCTCATAGGGTTTTCATAGGGTAGCAAGTTTTGCCTAACTTTAGAATATTATTTTAACTTTTTGCCACGGCAACCTTGAGTTTTAGGCTGCTGGCGATGCAATCTCTTAGGATGGTTCCAGAAAGTGACTTTGGAGCCACTTAGGGAGATGGATGTTTTTCCCTAGGTGATCCTCAAATGGCTAGGGCTCCAAGCCTGGACCTCGTAAGGAAGCGCAGACCACGCTTATACTGTATGGCTTTCTGCTGTCGACACTCCTACCACTACAGCGTTCCCTGATTATCTTACTGGGCACCGTCCCATGCACTAGTTATGCTGGATGTAATGCCGAAGGCTCCATGAACTTGGCCTTTTGCTGCCCCCTGTATGGGTCTTTAGAAACTGATGGTCACCTGGGCCAGGTTCTGCGGATCAGTGGTATTTCTCATTTTACCTGGGATATCATACTGCAGGATACAACGGGGGGAAAAACCCTATGAAATTCACCCTTCCAGTAGATTACCTTAGTGGGGGATGTGACCTTATCCACAGATTGCTTTTCCCAGAGGTTCCGCTTGCCAGATACGTCTCCTGGCCTCAAATCCTGATGAAGAGAAAGCAGAAAAAATTAATATGTGGGCATGTATATTTTCTGGCCAAGTCTAAATGAATCACCACATCTCTTATTTATTTATTTATTTATTTGTCTGAATCAATTTCTTGTTTAATACACTTTATCCTAGTGATCCAAACTGGATGGAATAAAAAGATCACTAGCCATTATTCGTTTTTATACAGACCTTGACGTTTGTTATAATATAAGAATGGGCTGGAACCACCCAACATTTAAATCCTGTCCTTCACCAAGGACTTACTGTGTATTGACCAGTAAAATTGGAATATAAGCATATTTAAAATAGTGGAGCCTATTTCTAACTTTCTATGCTCTTACGAGAGAATAGAGCATAGATTAGTTTTACAAACATTTGACTCTTGAACAATTGAGAGTTAGGGGCACTGACCTCTGTGCAAGTAGAAAAGCCATGTATAACTTTTGATTCTCCCCAAACCTAGCCACTAACAGCCTACTGTTGACTGGAAGCCTTGTCAATAACGAAGACAGTTGAGTAACACATATTTTGTATGGTACATGTATTACATACTGTATTCTTACAACAAAGTAAGCTAGAGAAAAGAAAATACTGTTTAGAAAATCATAGGGAAAATACATTTACGATATTTACTGAAATAAATCTGCGTATTGGTGGACCCACGCAGTTCAGACCCCTGTTGTTCAAGGTCAACCATAATTCCTTTGGGTGGGATGGGCAGTTCTTCCCTTGCAGATTAATTGTCTTTGGGTGCCCTGCCCATGTCTCCCAGTCCTTAGGGCGTTAGAGCATGACAGCCTGACTCCCACCTGCCACACACATGGCATGTTGTTGCCTGAGGACTTTCTCTGGCTGGAGAAGCCCACTTAGCCCACCCAAGAGGCAGGCTGGACCTTCAGGAAATTACCGTCCCCAGGGGACAGTCCTCAACTGCTCACCCATGACACCTGGTGCAAGAGCACTTCTCAGGCTCACTGACGCCTCAGGTGGGATACCTCTGAAGCATGTGTTTCATGGTGGCTTCCAGGCTCCCCCAGCGGAATGAAGTTTTAATAGCCCATGTGGTGACTTGCTTAATGCCATTCCTTATCGGCTGCCATCTTTTCCGGTCTCACTACTGGTACCATTTTCTTCACCTCCCAAGTAAACCACTCGCACTCGAATCACTATCTTAAGGTCTGCTTCTGGGCGGTCTAAACTGAGATACTTTTCTAATTGTACTTTCCTCAGACAAAAATTATTTTGTGTTTCCTGAAGAGCAAGTGGATAGATAATTCAGAAGTGTATCAGTAGAACCTAGCCCCACCAAAGTAAACATTTACCACTAACTGTATCCATAAGGAAAACTGACAGCTAATGACATATGTGAGAACATGTGGAAATCTTGGGAAGAAAACATTAAAATATGATTGATAACAGCTAGACAGCCTTAATTCTTTATTTGCTACCTCATAATTAATTTGGTTTGGATAAAGATCCAAATTTCTGTTTCTACTTACTTTTCTTCCAGCATTTGCTTATATTAGTACTTGGCAAAAGGTAGTTTGTAGGAAATAAATGTGTTTTAACTGAAATAGTCATGTTTACTCTGGCACACCCTTTTCTCATTAGGAAGGCAAAGCTAACAGCAATTGCGTTTATCCACGGACCCCAGTCTAAATGGACGTTTTTCTGACAAATAGTATGGAGATCACAACATTGAAAATGCACTGGTTAAATGGTACCATGTGAAGCATTTCAGATTTGCCTTAATCTTCCTGAGTTTTTGGATTTCCATTGTGGCATGAATTCCTGATATTCTATTAGAGAGTCACACCTATTTAACTTGGAAGCAGTAAGTAACAAATCAGATTGTTTTTGAAGAATTCCACTCCATTTGCCAGTGTAGGTAGAAGCTGCCAAATTGTCTGGAAGACTGTTTTAAAATTTTGGAAACTATAATTAGGAACATGCTGAGGGAAGCTCTGGAGAGTGGCTATTATTACTTTATTTATTTGATTCATAGAAGACAAATATTTTTCTTTCACATGAATGTTCTACTGAAGAAAACGGATCGTATTTCCCTTAAATCCTACCTATGAATCTTTTGAGATCACTTACAGGGTTTAAAGAGTTTATTTTAAGAAAATATTAGCATCCAAGTGGCAAGTTGGCATTTTCAATCAAAGGGGAAATATAAATGAAATTACCTGACCAGACTACATTTTAAAGAAAAACCAGCTCCGGAAGAAGAGTGAGAAATGAAGGCAGGAGAAGCAGGTTTCCAATCAACCAGAGATCAAAGAATGAAGAAGAGAATTCAAGCTGAGAAAGACACGGTTGGTTTTTTTTTTTTTTAAACAAAAAGAAAGACAAATTAGCATTTTAATTGCTGTATATAACATGTAGTTTAGACATAAAGAACAGACAAACCAGCTAAAACAGACATATTCAGAACTGAATTCCAGTTACAAAGTTACACTGAAATCCTATAAATTCTACTCATAAATAGCAATAGATGTCCCATTAAGGGATCAGAAGTAAAGCAATGTTTACTCTTAAATAATTTTCAGGGACCACTCTTCCCCCAAGTAATATTGATTTGACAAACTATTTTGAGCACTTTTAATTCTCAGTATATGTGGAAATTATTATGCAACTTGGAAGTGGATGGGTTTTCTCTCCAGTGAACTTTAGAACCGCACACTGATCCCAAAGGACACACTCATTTCCTTCTTCCTGAGGTTTCGCTGGGTGAGGACCACTTTGGTGAGAGACTTTCCCTCTGACTTTTCCTTAATGGCTACATGCCACACATCTGCAAATACAAACCCAGGCTTTCCTCTCTACCCACAAACGCCAAGGAATATAAACAAGGGACTGAGAATAAATAAATCACTGCTGGTCTAAAATCAGAAGGCACTTTTGGGTAATCCTTTGACATCCTGGGCTCAGGGTCAGTCTGACCAGAGTTCCAAAGGCGTCAAACTCGATGCCTGCCATGAAGGGAAAGGCTGGAAATGCAAATGCTTAAAGAGGCTTGGTGTAAGAAAAATAAGGAAAGGAGAGAATCAACGAATTCAAGAGTATATGCCTCTGCACCTCAAAAATATGTTCAAATTATAATTTTTAAAAGGAAAATAAAGCACAATAATGTGGGTCGAACTGTAGAGATCTTGGCTGCAGGCCACCAGTATGAGACCCCCTGACAAGACCTGGGCAAGATCCTTGCATGACAGCCAAGTTTTATGCATCTGCAGGATCCTTCTAGCCCCATTTCCACAGCTTGGAAATTTCATCTCTTTTCTGCTGGATCCATAGTGTCTGTGAGTTACTCTCCTGCCTGCTTTGACTCCAGGTCATATCTTGTCCCAAAGAGAATGCCACGTTGCTATTTATACTTCGACTAGGGCTGGCTGTAATACTCCTGGAATGGGCACGAAGCTTAGAGTTGCTTATTGAGTATAATCAAGCTAGCTTTTTATTTACAACAGCAATTACATATTGCTTTCATCCAGTCTGGCAGGAAGTCACTGTAGTCTGCAAAATCCAATAGGATATAGGAAAAAGGGATCACTAAAATCTGTACTAATTGCCACATTCTTCTTTCCTTTTCCTTCTAACCTCTAGTAGATAGTCTAACAAATTATTTACTAAATAGCAGGTAGAGCAGGCAATAATTTTGTTATTTCCCTTTCGTCCTGCAATTTTTAGGAGGCCATCAGTAACTTCAGAAAACGGGGCTTTTTGTGGAGACCTTGACACAATTATACCTATTGTAACAGCTGAATCAAATATTTTTAACTCTCCCATTAGGATGAGATTGATGATGATAGGCTTATCCGCTAAAGTTCTGATAAAAGAGTATGTGTCAAGTTATGGGCCAAATGTGAGTGTAATCTGGCATAAAAATGAAATAGGTCACACATACAATAAATGTGAAGAAGTGACTATCTCCTCTGGCAATGTGCCAAATTCATCAGAGGAAAACATACACTTTTCTCTCTGTATCTTTGCTATTTTGAGAGTTCTTAGTGGGTCTATGTACTTCCTGAAATTGTGTTATATGCATGTTTTGGGGGAGAAGTTTCTCAGATTTGATTGGGTTTTGGGTCCATAATTCATAAAGGTTAATCATCACTGGTCTGGAGCCACAGCATTTATAGCAATTGCCGTTACAAAAAATAACTTCTACTCTCTACGTGTCACCTTGGGTGCTGGAGAAACTCGAGGCACTAAAGGTATGTGCTCGCCTCGACTGTCTCCTTTTATAGGCCCCCTTTCCTGCAGGTACTGGGAGAGGGAAAAAGATGTTTTCTCAATATATAGACTGTCCAATTATAAATTGGGTTTACATTGGTTTTACACCTCTGGTGCGCCCTTATGCAAAGAATCCTGGGCTCAACATTAGTTGTCTATAAGGAGTTGTGCCCCAAAAGGGTATGAAAATATTTTCATTTTTTCTTTTTTCTTTTTAAATTCGGAAAGTGATACGCTTTAGTGACTTCGGAGATTAAATGTGAAGCCGATGGATACAATTAAATGCTCAACAGTGCAGAGGTCTAGGATTTGGAAGGCTTTTCTTCTGTCTCTGGAGTGGTTATGATAGTTGAATTTCTGCTTCTTTGGGCACCAACAAAGGTATAAAAGCCAGCTTAACAGAGAAAGCTCATCAATATATAGTAGGGAGCTTAATAAGGTTTTTGAATATAATGACAAATGCAAGGCGATTATCATATACATTCAATAAAAAGGTTAAAAGAACATTTTTATAGTAAGATACCATACCTAATAAGAAAAATTTAGATTTCCAAAAATAATATTCACAACCTGTTTTTATAGTTTCCAGTTTTACCTTTTTTTTTTTTTTAATGGCTTTCCTTTGCAGGTGCTGACAAGAAAATTATAACGATTATTTCAACAACTACCCAATAACTGTATTTGTGTTTTCCGTTACAGAAATTAGGCAAATTAGAAAATAAGAGTGTAAAATAGGCAACATTCACATTCTTTTGGGAATAAGTTTATGGGTACTCTTGACAGAGAAGTGGCCAAGATAACTTGACATTTTTATTTTCAAATTCCTAGCTGTATTTTATAGAATAGGAGCTAAACAAATAGACAAGTTAAGGGTATAAATTTGAACAGCCTCAGCATTCTGGCTAGCTATACTCCCTAGAGGGTATCTTTTTACCCTCTGGGTAATTATCGTTCAGTTGCTTGGGACTGTGCTCTCTAAATCGCAGGTCCTCCTTGTTTGTTATTCAGCAGTGACCGCAAAATAAACAGGAGCATTGCTTTCCCACGCTTCGCAAATAGCAAATAGCCCATTTTTCTTCTGCTGCTGGAGGCTGAGAGATCAAAGAAATTCAGAAAAATCCGAAGCTACTTACTGAAGGTTTGGGAGCAGGTGACTTGTTTCCATCTGGGGTTTTGGTTAGCCATTCATTGATGCGGCTGGAAACCCCCACCTTCAAGCCAGCAGTTTCCTGAAAAGAGTCCATCATTCAACATTAAAGAAAAAAAACCCAAACTTTACCTGGAAAGACATCTTCAAAGCAACCTCAAAATACCATTAAGTATTATTTCACATGGCCATCCCATAACAGGAGTCATTTATACGTTATCTTTAATATTTTGAGTACAATAAATCTTAAACTTGACATTTAAAGAATATGTTCCCTGGTTTTCTTTTCCCAGCACCTCACCCCACTCTAACACCTAGGCTGATGACTCATTTCAGGGACTTTATTTAGAGTACAGTGGCCAGAGCGTGGGTACAATCTAACTTCATGAACACATTCTCTCTGAGCTCGTTTTAGCGATTGTTGGGAATGACAGAATTACACCTTCTTCACTGCCTTTATAATTAACTAGTATGATTCTTAAAAAAAAAAAAGGGGGGGGTGGGGTAATCCACCCTCCAAAATTAAACGGCCAAAGTCCTGCGCTCACCTTGTTTGGCGTGCCCGACGCAGCGGGGGATGAGAACACATTCCCTTTCTCCCACATGCTCTTCATGTTGCGAACACCTTCGGCAGGAACCGGAAGATCCGAGGCTGCTGGCTTTGTAGGTTTTGCGGTTTTCGTTCCCTGGAGCGTGTGAATTATTTTTAGAATTGGTGCTAAGATTGTTCTTGGAAAACAGTAGGGAGTTTGTCTTCCTCAACTATGTTAGTTAAAAAAAATCCATTGTGTAAATGTCTTCACCAAATATGAGAGTTATGCTTTCTATATCAAACTACATTCTGAGGACATATATATCTCAAAATAAACCCTAAGATCTAGCTCAGAGGGTCCTTCAAAAATGGCGTCTGCTTTTTATTGGGATGCCATTTATTGTTCAAGGGCTATTGTACTTTATTTCTTCAGCAGACACTTTTTTTTTTATGCCTTCAGCACCTAGTCTTCCTAGGTGGTCTCCCAGCCAAGTACTACCCAGGCCCCACCCCACTTAGCTTCCAAGATCAGACATCGGGCTTGTTCAAGGTGACATGGCCGTAAACCATGGACCATGGGGTGTGAACCCAGGACCTTCTACGTGTAAAGCAGCCATGCTAACTACTACACTAGGGAACTATGTCCTTCAGCAGATACGTAAGCATCTATTGCGTGCGGGGTACTGTCTAGGCTCTGGGGATATAGTGGTATTTAAAACAAGACAGTGAGCTCTGTAAGCTGCAGTAGACTCATTTTAATAGGGCAGAAAAATAGTAACTAATTATACAGGTATTTATTTCACATTGCAATAAAGCATGCCAAGAGAGCACCCAATTGGGGAATAATAGAAAATTAGTTTACAGGAGCAAAAAGGCTACTCTGAGGAAGTGACACTTAAACTCAGATTTGATGGAAGACTTGGAAGTGGCTAGGGGAAAGACGGTGCAAACGCCATCCCATGCAGAAGGAACAGCATATGCAAAAGACCGAAGACGGGGACATGCTGGGACTGGAAGAGCGAGAGGCCATTGCAGGGAGCACATGATGGAAGGAGGAAAGAATGGATGGAAGGAAGAAAAGTGTACATTCAAGATACTTTTCCAGCAGCAGTGATGGGCATAGCCAGGATTATGCAGCTTCTCTGTTGGTCCTACTTTGTGGCCTATGGCATGTGTCGTCAAGGTGGCCAGCCAAAGTGAGTGGCACCATCACTGGACTAGGAATAGGCTGAAGCCACAGTCTTGGCTTTATTAATGCTATGAGAGCTGTGATTAATTCAAGCACAGAAAATAACTGTTTGCAATTTGTCTTATATTTTAGTGGACATTAAACATGTGAAAAATCACCTCTTGAGGGTTAGGACTTGATTATTCATTTGATAAATCATTCAGGCCTCTCTCTTTCTTATACCCTCTTATTATTTGATTGTGAACTATTTTACACTTATCTCCACTATGCAGTAGAAAGGAGAGGAGAAAATCAAATCAGACAGATCCAATTAGTTTATAGCAGCTGTTCTGATGTAGAAGGCAGCTAAAACCACTGACTAAAGTCTACATAAAGAGGGGAAAAATGCGATCACATTTTGATCAGTGATACCCTACCTTCTTAGTGCTTTGATACTTGGAAATATATATTATTTCTAAATACGATAGAACCGCTAGGTCTTTTGGATGGAAAAATATTGGAAAAGACAGAAGCATAAAACTGTGGTTCTTCAAGTGAAAAATAACCAATTTGAAATCGATGTTGATTACACTTGGGCTGGTCATCATCTTTATATTAACTTATATTTGATAATAGAAATTTGATATATTTGATAATAAAAATATATTTGATAACAAAAATTTCTCTAAACAATAGAAGATTAAATAAGGTTGTAAGAAACCTGTTTAAACTACATCTGGGAACACATTTTATAAGAAATTAATATTAGAAGATGTACTTACTAACATATAAATAATATAGTTGAATACCAATAAACCCATCCATTAAAAGAATAACACCTTCACTAAGGAATACTCAGGCTGAAAGTAGTAAACGATAATTTATTTAAAACTCTTCTATAATTTATCTTTATTACTATTCTTCTCCAAAACTAGTTCTAACGCTAATGGGGTTATTGAATTTGATTACTGTCCTAAGTGTTTCTATGATCGTTTGTATAAGCAGAGTCAATTTCTGTTTGACCATAATCTTGAGGAAATCTCTTACCTCGATGGCGCTGGTGTATTGCTCCAGTCTGCTGTCAATCTTGGAGACAACTGCTGCCTGATGAGTTGATTTGACACCACTGTTAATAAACACATACGCATATGTAAAAATATGATAGAATCTTTCCATACATATAATGGCTAATGATTCTCAGTTGAACAACCAACCATACTTACCTTTTCTGCACAGACTTGTTCAAAAATTCTGCTCGCTCTTCTATCTAGGAATTAAAAAAAAAGTTAATATTTTCAGCTCATAAACAGTGTCTTTTAGCCCATACCATTATCTTCCCTCGACCTGGTGGATAAAAGCACCAAAGAGTGTCAAACAGTTATAGGGTGCTGTGCAGAGGAAAACTACATATAAGGCATTTGATAATGAGACTCAAGAGACAAAGGTAGGATTGGCAGAAGAAAGAGAAAGTGTGTAGAGAAATACGAAATTCTGGAGGCAAATTAAAAGCTAGATAGAAATGGAATAAAAATACCTCTGAAATAATATAAATCAATGGCAAAATAATTACATTTCAAGACGATAACAATTTCTTTCTGACATATTAAAATTTTTTTTCTTTATTGAATTGACCTATAACATTATACTAATTTCAGGTGTACAACTCGATGATTGAATATTTGACCGTACTGTGAAATGATCACCACATAAGTCTAGTTACTATCCATCACCTGACAAAATTTTTTCTTTTTGTGATGAGAACTTTGAAGATCTACTCTCTTAGCAACGATAATAATTTTTTCAAAACCACATCTTTTTAGGACATGTTTACACGAGTATAGATGTACCATACTCTTTCATTAGGAAGAATGTCCACGATGTTTTGACTATGTATTTGGTATGTATTAGGGTCAAATAAGAACGATAACCAGGAACTGTGAACTATTCACTTACGGCTTAGCCTGGTTTCCTAACTTGATAGCTGCGAAGCCTATTGCCAAACTTAATTTGCCCTGAATGTAGAAGTTGGGGGTGGGAATGGAGTGAGACTGGGCATAGCTCATCAGTAATAGCTGAGTGAGAAGCCCCTGTTAGCCCAAGTGGGAAATAAGAAAATAAGGCCACAGAAACTGTGATGGATATACACTCAAAGGGCAGCTCATTAGTCTTTAATAAAATTTTTTTTTAAACTAAGAACTTCTTTTTGTTATAACTAAAGCTACTACATCGAATATTATATTTTACTGAAACTGCATCCATCACTCAAAGTCAGATGTTCTTTATAAGTCAGCATATATTTGTTGACTAATTATGATACCCAATTCCAGGCTGGAAATATTCCCGCCACACATCACCTATCAATATCAGCAAATAGAAACAGCTTTTTTTGCATATGACTGCATGTGTGAAGCACACTGTTTTTGGCTCTGTTCAGGGCAGACAAGGAATCTACCAGACTATGGTTGCCCCAGGCTGGTGTGGTTGGGTGCTCCTTACAGTCTTCAGAGATGATAGTGGCGTTTTCTGGACTGAACTGACTTGGGACTTGTGAACTATTAATAAATACCCTTAAGCTGTCTGGAAAATATGCTTAGTATCAGTTGAAGTCCACTTTTATAGATGTTAGTGATGATACTTTATCCTTTCCAAGATTTCTTACAGAGATAAAAGCAAACTCATTAAAAATAAAACTATACAAAAAAGTGTTTTAGGTATCCCTGAGTCTATGGGATGCAAAGGATCTTATTTTTCTGATGTAAATATAAGTGTAGAGTGTATTTCTGGAGAAAAAAGTTTCCAGTTGAATAAGGTGAAATACATTGGAACCGTGCAATGCAATGGCACTTTTAATATTATCCATCCATCCATCCATCCATCCATCCATCCATCCATCCATCCATCCACCCCTCTATTAACTCTTTCAGTCTGTCAGTCAAACAACCAACCAATAAATTATGTTGAGTACCTACTACATAACATTGAACTCCCAACGATGCATATGACAGGGTCTGATTTTTTAATGAGAACATATTTTAGCTGGGGAGACTAGTAGAAAATATAAACAAAATATTTAAAATTCAATGGTAGTTACCATATTAAAGACAAGAAGAGATGTCGTGACTCTGGCAAAAGTGACTGTTTGGGGAAGGTGGAGAAGGCTTTTCAGACATTTCGATATATAAGCTGAGATTCGTAGTTTAGAGTTGACACGGTTTTATAAGTGAGTTTATGAAAGTGAGGGTAGGAGTGCCTGAGTTAGCGGGCAGAGGACATTTCTAACAGAGCAGACACATGTACAAAGATTTGGGGACCCTAGAGGCATGCAGAGCGCTGGGCCCGAAGAATGAAGAAACATTCAGCGTGGCAGAAGGACAGAGGCTCGGTGGGGGAGGTGGCAGAGGTGAGACTTGTTCTTTGTAGCATTTGCAGCATCATCGCTCTGAGTCAGGGATCATCTCGTTAACCTTGGCCTTCCAAAGGTTTATCCAAATTACAGAGGCTCTCGGAATCCAGCTTCTCCTTTTACATCTATAATATTCAGCACAGCCTGACTTCACTGTCGCATTTAGTCAGGTCTAACCACCATTTACGGATGCGCTCTCGTTGGAAAATTCCTGAACTGAGTGACTCTAGGTTATGGAACAATTTGTACTGAATTTGTAAATTAAATGCTCTGTATTAGTTTAACGGGGGAAACTGATTCTCCTGAAGACCAAGAGGTGGCAGTGTTGTTCTGATAAAACGTGGAGGGAAAACATACTATCAGTTTTAGAAAATTGGAACTCTCCTTACTTCATATTCCCTCCACCGCTGATAGCTGAAAACATGAATAATAACAACAAAATTTTAAATTAAATTAAATTTTATCCTTTGCATGTATTGTGTAAAAGAAATCATTCACTGCTAACATCACTTAACTATGAGAAACCAGGTTAGGGGTTTCCCAGACAGGGAACAGAAGTCATGAGAATTAACCAAATACACTAGTCAATAATGTTTCGAGGTCAAATATCAAATGTTTTTCCTCCCACTGGCATTCTAGAATGTTAACTTGTGACCAGTGATAGAAGTTGCAGAGCCAAGACTATCAACAGTTATAGGAGCTCAACTGTAGACAATTTCATATGAACCAGAGCCACAGCCAGTTCTTCAAGACACATACTACGGAGAAAGGCAATAGATTATTCCTGAAAGCATCTCTCTGTTATATAGAAATTAAAATTGTTTCATTTCTTTTTTTTTATGTATCTATTCTAACTGATTGCTCACACATGACTCTCTACCAGAGGGAGTAGATAAATGGCTTCCAGGGAACTCGGAAATCTGGTTGATGGGAAAACTAGAGAAATAAATGAAATCATTGGTAGAGAAGAGATATTTGAAGGAGGAGGATGGGTTGTAGTGTCTCCTGAGCAAAAGAGTGAAAATTAGAAGTTTAGGTGACTACGACTTTCTTTGTGATGCCAAGACTGTTCAAAGAAATCTTAGCTTGGGTGGGATTTTGAGGAAGGTGTAAAGAGAAGGTATAATGATGTTCTTTGAATACCGATGATCCGAGAACAAAAGGACCAGTGGCTCTTGGAGATAGTCTGAACCGGGTGGGTTTTTCTCTTTCTGCTCTCTCTTCCACAGCAGGAGTCTGCAAACTGTAGTCCATTTGCCTACAGGTCAAATGTGGCCCATGTTTTTCACCCATTCCTAAAGCTAAGAATGTCTGACATTGTTAAATGGTTGAAAAATAATCAAAAGAAGAAGAATATTTTGTGACATGGGAAAATTTTATGAAATCTAACTTTTAGTGTCCATAATTGAGGCTCGCCCATGCCACAGAGCCTCTCTCTCCTCATTCTGCTTCAGCTCCGAGAGCTCACTTTTGCAGTGGTCTGCATCTGGTTGCCTTTGTAACTTCTTAAATTCCCCTGAGGCAGTCAACAACATTGGCCCTGTGGGGCAGTCACTATGCTTTGTGCTTCTCTCCCTCACAGTATGTAGCACACATGAGGTATGTTCTAAACATTCAATATGAAACAATAAAATCCCCCTCTAGCTTAGTTTGGATTCTGCCTGAAACAGACCTTTTTAGAGGAGAGGGTTTGAGTACAAATAGTTTATTTGGGAGGCATCAGAACTGTGACTGGGCTTAAGACGATCAGCAAGAATAAGTGAAGTTATTTAGGGCTAAAACAGCTGATTGTCATGTAAATAACTGGCTTTTGGTCATTTTAGTGTGCCACGTGATAAGGCCTCACACACGTTTATAGACACATGTACACACTTAACTGGCCGTGATTTTGTGCTGGCTTTGCCCATTGTCAATGCGTTGTAACCTAGCTAGGTTCATGGAAAATGAAGGTGAAATAAAAATGTTAAAAGTTACAATCTCTGAAGATTCATTCATTCATATATCCATTCAACAAATATTTATATCAAATAACAAATATCTTCACTGTGCCAGGTGTCCAGTGCATGTTAATTCTCATAATAAGCAAAACACAAATCTGAAAATAATGGCAGACTAAATATAGATAACAGTACTCTTCCCTCATCTCATCCATTCTCTCGTCTCCCAGTCTTGGCTCCATCCTGCTTGTTCTCTTTTCTCTTAGCAACACTTTTCTCTGCCATCGATTAGGAGCTGGGCTCCATGAGGGCAGTAGTAGGACAAAACTCATCATGGCCAAGGACCCTTCCAAGTCACATTTCACCTCCTCCCCTATAATAGCTGTAAAATTTGACCTATACCATTTCTAGCTGCCCTGCTTTTAATAACGATGAAGGAAAAAAACGAACAGTTAGCATGAAAAGAAGCTTAACCTTTATAATATATTTGACTGTTTTATAAACTTTAAATGTTTCCATTTTCAATTGCTCAAAGCAATGATGCACCTGGTGATCATGTGTCAGCGAGATCCAGAGATAGTCGCTGATTGTCATTTCGATGTATGCCAGAACATCAAGCAAACAACAGATACAGATTTCTCCACTTTATTTCTCTCCTTTCCATATGTTGAAAAGAGAAGCTGTCAAATGGATGTGAGAAGGAGCAGAAAGATAAACGAAGCAAAGGCTTCGAATCATCAATAATTAAACAAGGGGCTAAAAGCAGTTTCTATTATTATAGTAGAGGTATTATAAGAAGGATTTCTGGGGAAAAATACCTTGAGAGATGAACCTTTAGGAGTGAAACATTTGAATGGCTTCTTGTCATCTGCTAACCCATCCTCTGGCATCTTCTGGCGTTTCTCAGCAGCTTCTGCCCTTCGCCTTTCAATCTCTTCCTTTAGCCTCCTCTTCTCTTCCTTAAGAGAGAAAGAGCAAATAACAAGGACTTCAATATCAGGTTCAAGCCAAGGGGAATGAGGGCTATAGGGAGAAAAGCATGAGTCCCACAGGAAGAAGACCCAGATTGTAGACCGGAGGCTACTGGGTCATCAAAGGCGGTCGCTAGAGCTTAAACCTGAGCTCGCGAGTCCAACAGCCTGATTCACATTCTGCTGCTGCCACTTCCCGACCGTGCGACCTTGACCATGTTACTTATCTGCTCTGTGCCTCACTCTCTTCATCTGTAAAGTGAGGATAATAATAGAACCCACTGAACAGGGCTTTAGTGAGGACTAAATGAGAAAGCCCATGTAAAATGTGTAGATTAGTGCTCCATATGATGACTGCCATTAGGTCATTATCCTGTCACGTCATTGAACACTGACCTTCCCTTTCTAAAAACGTGACATCAATATAAATATCTCTACTTCCTGGGAGAGTTGCAAAGACAAATGAGATAACTTATGTGTGAAGTTATATAAATTTATGGTACTTATTTGCCAAATTGTACAAGAGATCACTTTATGGTGGTCCCCACCTCAACTGAGTGGGTTATTTTAGGTGGTATGACAAACCTGAAATGATGTAGATATTGCATCATTTTGAATCACCATAATGTTGAAATCACAGATGTTTACAATCTATTTCATTAAGCCCTTTGTGCCTTCGTTCCTGGTCTAGATACTCTCCCCTGTCTTCTCTCTCAGGCAAAAGTTCCAGAGCTCTGATTGAGTTGCACATCTTTCTGTGAATGATTTTCTGAGAGATTTAAGTCTGTCGTCTTTTGTAGTTTTCAAACTGTGAGATCTTTATCACTGGATGTTCTCAAGCAGAGACTTTATGTCCCTCTGTCAGAGAATCTTGCAAAAGGATCCTATGTGCTATAGACTAAATCTTTGTGTCCCCCCCAAATCCATAGGTTGAGATTCTAACCCTCAGTGTGATGATAGTAAGAGGTGGAGCTTTTGAGAAGTGATTAGGTCATGAGGATGGAGCCCTCATGAATGAAATTAGTGCCCTTATGAAAGAGACCCCAGAGAGCTTCTTTGCCCCTTCTACCATGTGAGGACACAGTCGGAAGACGGCCACCTATGAACCAGGAAGCAGTCCTCACCAGACACAGAATCTGCTGGCCTTGATCTTGGACTTCCCAGCCTCCAGAACCATGAGAAATAATTTCTGTTGCTCATAAGCCACTAAGTCTATGCTGTAGTAGGAAGTTAGACCAAGCGATCTTCAATTCGATCCCATTCTAATGATTCATTATGTCTTCATTGATCTTCTCCTCCTCTAATGACAACACTGACTATAACTACCACTTCCTGGGCTCCAGGCACTATTATGTACTGGGCATTGTGAATACCATGATCTAATTCATCATCACAACAATCCTGAAAGTAGATATTTTACAGATAAGGGAAAGAAGTCTCAGGGGAGTCCAGTAACTTTCCCAAACTTTCCACACAGTTCAGGGAATTTTTGTATAGGATCCACATCGAAAAGTCACTTAAAGTCAAATTTTTGTGTATTTTGAATGATGTCTCCTAAGATTACTGGGAAAAGCTCCAGGCTGAGTTGGAGAAGCTGGGTCCCAATACTGATTCTGTCACTCATTAGTCAAGAAACTTCACACAAGTCACTCAAAGTATTGGATTCCCGTTTTATCGTCTAAAAACTGAGAACAGAACAATAATGTTCCTCAGAATAAAAGGAAAGAATGTACCTTGTAAACGGAAGCAATGTAAGTTGTAGTTGGTTAAGAACTTTTTCAGTTTTCAAAATTAGCCCTATAGTGACTTTACTTGTTTTCAGTTTTCTCTTAAAAGACAGAACAAATTCATCTGCTCATAATTATTGGCTACCACTCATGACTACATTGTGTGTGTCCTAGGCACACAGCAGTGAACAAAGCCCTTACTGTCCCTGCTCATGAAATTCTAGTCTACTTACTCTTCCACTAAAAAAAAAAAACACACAAAAACCCCAAAACTATTTCCTAAAATCTTCTCTATAAAACCTCTTCAACTATCAAAAAACAACTATCATGTGACTTTGATTTTTATAGACTTTTCTTCCTTCTCTACTCTCTACTGTTCATCGAGGGACAATATAGGGTGATAGATTAAGACGAGTGGGACCTTGGGAAAATTATTAAAAAAAACAAAAACAAAAACCTCTCCATGCCTCAGTTTCTTCCTCTGTATCATGGGGATAAAGACTATCCACTCTCATGAGAATTGGATACATTAATATGGATAAAGGTTTTAAAACCATGCTTAGCACACAGCACAGTTTATTATTCTGAAAGCGTAAGAGTCCATGCTCAAAAGGGCAGCAGCAGTTCACCGGGGAAGAAATGACTTCCTGGGCTAGGGCGGTCACCAGAGACGCACTCAGGGACTTGGGGCGTCAGACGGGCTGGCCCTGCTTACCTCCTCTCTGACTTTTCGATCGGCTTCCTCCTGCTTCCTCCTCTGCTCCTCCTCCTCCAGAACCTTCCTTCGCTCCTCCCGCTTTTTCTTCAGCTCCTCGAGCTCCAGGGCTGCCTCCTGCTGCTTCTGTTTGAGCTTCTCGAACTCTTCGCTCTCGGTTTCCCCACGGCGGCGCCTCAGCTCCTCCAGGCGCTTGCCCGCTTCCACTTGGGACGCGCCCTCCGCCTCCTTGGCCTCGCCAGCCCTCCCTCCGGGACGGCTGGGAATGGGCGGGAATGCACAAGAGTTTGACACACGTCTGCCTTGCAGCCTCCCCTTGAGGGAGGGGATGTGGGTCTGCAGGGCTTTGCATCCATCCCACTCAGAGCTCTTCACAGCCCCTCCTTAGAGAGTGGGTCCTCACCCCAGCCCCAAGGGTTGGGTCCACCTGGAATCTCCAGGTCTGAATCAGAGTCCTTGCTCTGCCACTGACCCTGGGTTTCCTCAGGTGTACAATGGGGGCAACTAGGCGCTGTGGGTGGGATTGTAAAATGGTGCAATCACTATGGAAAACAGTAGGGAGATTCCTCAAAAAATTAAAAAATAGAACTACCATGTGACCCAGCAATCACACTTCTGGATATTTATCAGAAGAAAGTGAAAATACTGATCCGAAAAGATATCTGCACCCCCACGTTCATCGCAGCATTATTCCCGATACCCAAGATATGGAGACAATCTAGTGTCCACTGATGGATGGATAAAGAAAATATGGTGCATATGCAACCATGAAAAGAAGGAAATCTCATTTAAATACTTATTAACAAGTAGGGAGGGCACCCTTAACGAGATCTGAACATAGATGACCTACGTCCAACACTTTTTGCTAAGGAACAGATAGGTTATCACTGTCTACCATCATTTATTTCACGAAGTGAAATCACGTGGTGTTTCTAGCTCTGGAGCAAGAAGGAAGAATAAAACAGAAAATGAGTTCAAGACGACACAATTACCAATAGTGACCTTATGTGTACGTCTCATGCTTTTTAAACACTGAAGTCTTTCTGAATATACTGTGTCCTTTAGGATAATGCTTTTTCAAGCTGCAGCTCAACAACAACAACAACAACAACAACAAATAAACCCATTTAGTGGACTGTAATGAGCATTTAAAAACATGAGCTAGGAAGCATCAGAGTGCATTGCCCAGGGCAAAGGAAATGACCGTTTCTTGGCATGCTTGTTTCAGTTACATATGTAGATGTACACTGAGTCATGACGTAAAATTTATTCCTTACTAAAATTTATTCCTTACTAAGAGCTAAAAAAAATTCTAGGTTCTTTATGGTTAATGATGAACTCTTTTATTTTGAACTCAATCAAGGTCAGATGGTTCCTTAAAACTTGATGTTGCTTTTTCAGGGTCTCACATGTTTATAGGCTTGTGACCCCAGATAGGAAATCTCTCTCAGTTACTTTAAAGTCTTTCCATCTTCAGAGACATCGACTTTCTCTGTGTAGATCATGTTAGTGTTCACCTGCACTGGCAAAACACATGCCTATAGAAACTGCTATATTCCACTAGGTGTCGCTCAGTTCTCATTTTGGACATTTAAAATACCCACAATTAGGGGCCGATTAAATAAATTATGATATCTCCATCCGGTGGAACACCCTAACATCATTAATTGCAGGCTTATATTCATTAGTATAGGAGGCTGGCTAAGATACATTGTTATGCACAATGCAAGAATCAATTTAAAATGTAGATTTATGTTTATATTCACACATATCTATACTATATATATAGATATGCATGTCTATTTTGAATGTATATCATAAAGAATATCTGGAAAAATGTTACTCGTGGTTATCTTTGGGTGGTGGGTACTTATATTTATACTTCTATTTTCTGAATGTGTTATAACGAGTATATGTTTTCCTATAATCAGAAGAAAACTTTAATTCTCGCATTACAAAAATAAACAGAAAGCAAAACAAATCTTTGTTTTATACCTTCTGTAAAACCCTTAGTATAATCTGCCTCTATACATTTACTCCTTGAATTGAAACTTTTATGCCAGAGCAAACAATCGACTTATAAGAAAATAGGAATATCAAAGGGGGCAGTAATTAAATCAAACAAAAGGAGCTATGCTCAAAACAGGAACGAGAGTTTCGTCCGTTATCACCCTTGCCCAGATGTGCTGGCGCGCCCTCTGCATTAGGGTGCCACTAATATGAAAATTTCTTCTAGAAGGCTCTCTTTGCTATCCTTGGCTTCTTTAGGTGTAAGTCAAGATGAACATCAGAGCTTTCGCCATGAGGAACACAGCTTGTTTTCAGTTAGGCGAGTAGGCACTCGGCTAATCTAAATAGTAGCTCTTACTCCCTTCCCAGCTCCTCACTTCATAATTTTATGGAGCAAAACCAGGCAACTTTGCTTCTATCGGCACCGATTTCTAACTGAAACTGAAAATAACATATGTTGGCAGCTAAACGAAAACTAGTAATACGATGGCAGCTTGTTTCTGTCATTTTTTTTTTTCTGCCCAACGATGGAAAAATTAAAGTTAGAGTCACATTCGAGGGTTCTCAGAACTCTCGACCTGTTCGTTGTCCCCTCTGACTTTTCTCTTCAAATTACCCAGGCCTCGGGATTTTCACACAATGGGCATGTTACTTATTAATTGGAGCTTTGACTGAAGCTGGTTGGCAAGTTTGCTAATTAACCAAACTCTCTACTGACAGATTTTTAAAGCATTTTTCTCTTAACAAAAAAACGTACTCATATCCACAAAAGATATTTTAAACTATCAAACCATAAAACAATAATGTGATTGTCAGATAATGTTCATCAGACACTTTTCGGGAACTTGACCCCATTTTAGGGATCTAAAACATTAACCTACAGGCACGTGAATCAACTTGCTTTCTAGATCTTTCTATGAATTCCTGATAAACTCTTAATTTTCACATCTACTTTCTTGCCAGCTTAGGCTTTCTGTTGGAAAAATGTGAGTAGGTTTCTGCTCAAATTTTTGCATAGAGAAACTGTTTGAGAGCAATTACATTTAGCCTCTTTGAGGGGCTGGAAACATCCATCCTTAGTAGCTCTGCTCAATTCTGAATATTACAAAGGCTTCGTTGTGAAGAGAATATCCAACTTTTGCATGACACTTGCCTGGGGACTTTCTTATCTGAAAGTGTTCAGACGAATAGGGTCTACAGGAAAGGCTGCACGAGAATCCATGTTCCAAGGACCCAGACTATTTCCCAGAACATCTGGCACAGCAGCCAGTGACGTAACAGAGGGTGAAATCTGGTATCAGTGATCGAGGGGATTGTGCGTGCAGGAATGGGGCATGGAGAATCATGCAGCCAGGTATCTGTGGCAGGCTTATCTGAGCCCTTTTACAAAACTGGTGGGGAGCTCTCAGTGTTCAGTGTATCTGCGAGTGAGAATTCACACATATATACTTGTCTCTCTGTCCTAAAGTCAACCGCCCAGATTTTCAACATGATGCGAGTAAGGTGGGGTGAGGAGGGGAAGCTGAACCTATGCAAGAGAGTTTTCCATCAGGTATGAAATGGAGCATTAGTCCAGTGGCCTCTTCCTCCCTCTTGGAGATTCCAATACAATTTAACATCAAGCACTCTCAAAGTTCCGTGGTAAAGACATCTGATTAATTAGTTCAACCTGAAGTTTGCCAAGGCCAGAGAACAATCCCAGTTTTATGCAACATTTATTTGCAACCTTTAGAAAATACATTTCTGTCTCTTATGAAGTTGCCTGGACCAGATGGAGAGTGAATTAATGATATTAACCCCAGCCACGATGTTTCCTAATAAACTGATCATACGTGAATGTATTAGGTCAGGGAACAAAAACCTGGATGCCAAGCACGATCTACCTTGCTAAATGATGGGGAAAACGGATTAAACCTTGTCTGAGCAATGACTGCTGGTCTTCTGTTAGAGAGACTGATGGCCTGACCTGCTGACTGAGTATCTCTAAGACAATGGCCAATGAGCTCACGGTAAAAGTATGTTGCCTGTTTAGCACATTTCTGTCTGGAGGCACAGGATAGGGAGACTATTTTTTTCCCCCCACATGTGAGCACAGTCACTGTTGATGAGTCATGACTTCTTACCTGAAAGTATTCTCAGTGTGTTTAAGTTTGTGGGTCACGAATTCTCCATTCTGCGACTTGACTTCTGTGAATCCCTTCTTTCCATCCAAGAAGCTCTTAACATCTTCCCTGGGCTCTTTGTCCTTTTTCATCTTCTCATCTTTGATCTAACCAACGGTACACGTCAGGAAGAAACATAACAATAAAAATCTTATTAGGTTTTGGTTGGTTATCACCAAATAAGATCCCAGATTGTGAGGAAGCCAGACAACTCAGAAGTAAAACAACCCGTGATGTGGTAGAGACAGTCAGAAGAAATTCTTAGAGCATGAGCTATGGTTCTCCAGCCTCTGAGCAAAGACCTTGACCACAATTTCAGGAGGTCAAGATCATCCCTGATTTCACTGGGGTTTTATTTTTAAAAGCAGTGGAGGTGTTACCGTTTGGAAACCATTATGTTCTGGGAAGGCCGCATGAGTGGTTGTTTGCAGTTCCCAGTGGGAAGGGCGATTATTAGGGTGGCCTTGATGGGAAAATGCCCAGGGTACTTGGACAAGTTTCTTCTTGGATGGAGGACACAAACGTGTTGAGGAGAAAAGAAGAAGTAACGTACCAAGTTAGCCACATCTGCCCAGTCGATTCTGGCTGATGTCAGAGGATGATCACCCTAGTATTTTAATCAAGTAAGTAGCGAGGGTCTTGAGGACAGAAGACATAATACCTCTACCTGTAGGGGGATGACTCAGAGATCTGTGGAACATGTTTGTAGTCAACTAAAGCACTGAATTAGGATGGAATAGGAAATATTCCAGGGTTTACCTTGACCTCCACCGAAGGTAATAATTTAGTCTTCAGAAGTGGTTTTGTGATTGTTGGGGGAGGCAGAAGAAGGTGAAGAGCAGGTGTTAGCTTTAATGTTTTGGGGTTTTGGTTACAAGTTCCTCATGGTAACATAAGAAACTATATTAATGTAAACTGAATTTACATAGTTTGGGGGGTCAAGGAGTACAAATTACCTATATCATCTTACCCATTCTTAAAAAGTGAGTATAAAATGGGGGAGGTTCATTATTGCTCTTTTCAGACAGAGAAAGCACTAATGTTCTAAAGAAATCTACGGAGGAAGAGTGGGACAAAAGAACTTAGGGCTCTGGGTGCCGCCCAGATGGTCTCTCCTTATCTGATCACTCACCTCTTTCCAGCTATTTTTTCAGACTCTCTGAACATTTACTCCTAAAATACATGTTTTACTAAGCAGAGTATTTTTTTTTCCCCCCTCTTTACTGAATAGCCTTCCATATTCTTTCTTTGGGTATTATTTGACAAAATTACTACAGGTGGGCTATTCAGTACCATGTTGCCCTAATTAGCTAAAACTTTAATCTTTCTCCAAGGGGTGTATGACTAGGATATCCCTTGGACATGCCGAAGAGGGAAACTGTTGTTTTGCCATGCTGAGAACTTTGTCTAGAAGTCAGGAAACCTGGGTTTGGGTTCCCATGCTGTCTACAAACTAGCGGTGTTACTTCGATTAAGTCACCTAACTTCTCTAGGATGTGGGCTCCATGTACAGAAAAAGAGGAGATTGGACTAGATGACCCCTTGCTAATTCTTCATCCTTTCATTTCCCTCTTGGCTTCTGATTTGTCATGAGAGGCTACAGAGAAGAGAAGGAAGCTCTTGGCTTGTCCCACAACCTGATCGTGGGTCCTTGGTGGCTATCCTTGCCCAATCATAAATCGAGATTTATGTAGGAACAGGCAGGGTCTAGTCTCATCTTGGCCTACTGTTGCTGGATGTAGCCCCAGAAACCATGGACTGGATTTTATATCCTGGTTAAGAAGTATCTGGGGATACAAATTTGGGGGGTGAGGGATTCCCGTTTCAGAAAACCTGTGAAACAAATTCTGAGTCAAATATCGATTTGTGGAATAGTATGCAAATATGAAATTCCCTTTAACTAATTTCTCCTATTTTGGAGTCGGAGATATTTCCATTTTTTCCAAATGCATTATCTGATTTACTGACCCCAAATGTGTGTAAAATAGATTCATAAAACAATATATGTTTAACGGAGGAAAAATCCCCCTTTTCTTCAAACTCTGCCTTTATTGGCAAAGGTTATGGTGGGTAATATGCTTATATTCTCTTTAGAAGACTTTCGTTGAAAATTTCCAAATGAAGTAATGATAATTTGAGTTTGCAAGTTATTTTGAGAAATGAATAAAGTAATTCCATAACGCCTTTGGAACACAGTGGATTGGATTCTATAGCAGATTTAGCCCATGCTCATGGAAGTCTGAGCCCCTTGGGGAAAGCATTAGATCTTCTAGGTCAGAATATTACCCTAAAGAAAATCTGTGCTGATGGATTAATAGGTAGTAGCCAATTACTAAAAGAGTTAATGTGCTTCACAGACAGATAAAATTAGTATATGAAAGGCTCTGGCCAAATGTGATTATTTAGATAAAAATGGATATTTGGGATATCCACTGAGATAATTCATGGGTGGGTGTGTGTGTGGTGGGGAGCGGGGGGGCGTGTGGGGGGAAGAATTCCAGTGACACAATCTTGTGTCAGAGAAACATTCAAAACGTCAAGTGAGCAGGTCATAAAGGACTGAGCTGTCAGTCTTGTAGTGTATTGCTTTGCGTTATTTGATTCCAGAATAGTGACAAAAACTGGTGTGAGCTGCCGTATTTCAGATTAGGTGTAATGCACTTTTGTTAGACTCAGAAGACCGAATTCCTTTCGTGGGTCCAATGCCTATCTAATGAATGTCCATGCTACTGAAAGTTTGGTCCACGGATACCACGGACCTCACCAGGAAGCTCAGACTCCACCTCGGAGACACCGAGTCAGATCCTGCATTTCATAAGCTTCCAGGCGATTTGCATGAACACCAGCATTGGGCAGCTTTGGAGTAGATGCATGAATGTCCGTTTCAATATTATATGAACAACTCTGCTGGAAACTGTTTTTCTGTTTGAGGCTGGGGGAAAAGAATTCCTCCAGGGTGAAGAACTAAAAAGAAGCATTTTATAGCGAGAGAGGAGAAAAAGAAAAGTTTCGGGGCTGGTGATCATCTGCGATCCATTGCCACAGAGTTAAACTGCAGTGGGAGAAAGAAGGTGTTTTGTAAGGTATCGGGGCGACTTCTGGAAAGGTTTTTTCTAAAAGGGCTTATGTAATGTTTATGTTTACTTGTGGTTGACTGATCTTGCGTAGCTCCTTGAAAGAAAAGGCTTTTTTTTTTTTTTTTTTAACGAAAAGGCGGGGAAAAGAAGGAGTGTTTAAAATGGCTAAATCATGTAAAATTCGATTTAAACTTGTCTGCATAAAGCAACCACACAACTAATTGGAGAAGGGACAACTTAGTCATTCAACTAGTAATTTATGTACACAATGTAAAACAGGAATGAGATTTTTTTTTAAGCCTGCGTTGAGGAGCTGATCTGGCCTTGTGTGAAAAAAAGAGGCCAGGAGTTTTGGGACATTGGAATGTGCTTTAGGGCAAAAAGGGCAAGAGGAAGGTCTGAAATTACACCATGGGCACGGTTGAACTGGGGCCTTGTCTGGAAAGAGGAAAAAGGGTGATTTGGATGATGGCTGGTGAGCTCTTTCCAGCTCATGGGCACAATACACAGACACAGATGATTTGGTCATTAAAAACAAATCACACCTTAGTGAACGGAATTAAATTTTAAATATAGACCTCAAACAGTGCTTTTTCAGCTTCCCTTCCCCCATATAAACTTAATTACTGAGTTACGATTTCATGCCCTCCCTTTTCTGTAGTTAAAGGTATTCACCACGAAACACTAACTTCAGAGGAGTCCATTTAATACATTTCTGTTTGAATTTAGTTCCAGGGTAACTTTCATTTTTTGTAGATGAATTTGTAGCGTTCTTTGGTAACTAAATGAGAACAGTGTCTCTCAACATGTTCAATCATTTCCTCAACTGCCTCATTTGAGCCAAATTCAAGTTTTTCGGTTATTAGCATTTACACTTTCTCCTTCCTTTAAATGGGCAGGGTTCACATTCAATTTTCACTCCCAAGTTCTATGAGAAGCAAGGAGGAACATTTATCTTAAACAAAATAAATATATCACGAACTAGAGATTTTACTTTTTATGTGAATCTCATGAAAAAGCATTTAAGCAAGTAACCATCTTCCTATTGAATCTGGTTATCAATTGTCTAATTATGGATTTTTCTGTTTCTTAATATATGTCGCAATGGGCAGAAAAATGTAGCAAGAGCCCGTTTGAATAGCTATGTCAGTCCCACGGACAAAATAATTCAAGTGTTCTTACTTTGATAATTTAGTTTCACTGTGTTGGAGTACTTTGAACTTACTAGATATTGTCGCAGTTTCTAAGATTACTTGTGGCTAACGTAAGCACAATAGTTAATCAAAGTCAGGCTTTCTGATGTGGCATTTTGATTCTGTCAGATCATGACATTCTCTCTGCTGCAGCCACTGGTCCACTTATTTGTTTACTTACCTCTGGTCAAACACCCTGGCACCAGCTCCTGTGTGTGCCTCGGAAATGCAATGCAGAACATTTTGCCAAATTTTTCTTTTGAAAACCAAATATCGTCTTCAGTTCATCAAATTTTCTACTGAGATGTGTGGGGGTGTTTTTCCTTTGAGAAGTTAAATCATTAATCAAGGGCAGTTGGGAAAAGTTCATGATAGAAATGAAAGTAGGATGGCTCAAGGGAAAAAAAAATAGCAATTAGAAGAGTAGAAAGCGGGAAAGATTGATCGGAGGAGTGTTTTTCAAGCTTTTTGGCTGTGACCCACATTAAGAAAGACAATTTGTATCACAATACAATACTTACTGCCTGCAATGCCTCTAATATTGTATCTATTCTATTTTTTTAAAATGCTGATTGACACATTTAACTAATTTTGAGATGCTCTAAGTTGATTTCACCATTCAATGAATCATGAGTCATGGCTTGAAAAACACTGGATTAGAGGTTACGATTTTGAGATCATCAGATCTGAAGTGTCACGGAACACTGCTCGTTGTTGCTTTATGATTAGGTTATTTCTCAATAATATTTACCTCTTCTTTTTTGAACGTAGGCTTGTCTTCTTGGGATTTTTCTCTCTTAGGTTGCACTTTAGCCCCCTTTTCTTCTTCCTTTTTATTTTCAAGAATGGGAAGGTCACTTATTTAAAAGAAGACCTTTCCAGCTCTTTCTAGAGTGAGAGGGTGCTCAGGTCACTTGACGTGTGGTGTGAGATGACTTCTCTTTTGCTGTCTCAGTGCTCAAGTGTCCCCCTGTGCCAGTGGTGGTAGACAGCGGCCTGGCATATTTTCTTCCCACCCCAATTTTTTCTTATGTGCCTGCCATCATGCTCCCTGAAATCTCGCGTGACCGGGTGCTTTCTTGTGCGTGTTTACAAACCTCGTGTGTGGCTTGGTGCATTTGCTTCCCTGATCATGAGCCCCTTGTAAAAAGCAGGAGTGAAAGACAACTTCAGTGCATTGCAGACTTACTGATAGAGTAAATAAGGTGGACTTGCATGGAAGGTGAACATGCAAGCAGGTGGTGAAGTACAGTGCTTTTGAATGCAGCCTTGCAGACAGAAAAAACCCAGAGCTTACAAATATTCTCCGCCCCCACCATTTCCATCCTTCTTCAAGCTACATGAATTTGTTTGTGTCATCCAGATGGTAAAAGAAGCGAACTGTATGCTCTTAATTATCAGTCAATTATAAACCGATGCCTCCCCAGATGAATGGCTTTCTGCAAGTCTACATCAAGCTCAGGTCTACATGACGGCAAATCATGGTTCTGACATTTTCAATAAAAGGTCCAAATTGGCTTCTTTCCCTCCTTTATTGCCAGTTAATTTGGAGGGGTTTATTGTTGCCTTCTTAAAATGCTATTTCTGACCACGATTCTTCTTTGCCAGTTTCCCACCCCAATGTTTATAATTTTTCGTTAAATGCCAAACCCATGGCTCAGGCGAGGAGTTAAAATCCTCTTGCCTCATGTAGGCCTTTGGATAGAGAGAAGGCGTTAAAAGGAATGAGTTTAGATGCAGGTGGAGAATCGCAGGTCAACACAACACCACCTCATTTATCATCTCTGGCTTAAGTCATTTTTCTGGTGTTCATAACAAGCAAGGCCAGAGCAATTCATTTCTCTCTGGTTGTCCCAGTAAATTTGGCTGACTGAATATTTAGCCATCAATCGACTGCTTCATGCTCGTCTATTGCTATGGCCTGAACAAATGAACAGCGTGTCAAATGACCAAGCACGTGGGATTGTGGGAACGCGGCCGCAGTCCCAGATCGGATTGTGCATTACATTTCTCACAAGTCACAGGCATCACACATGTGGTGCAAAATGTTTACCGTACCTGTTTTTTCTGGACAGCTGTCTGACGTTTATCTTCTTGTCCTTTCTTTTCATGGACCCATTTCCTTTCTATTTTTCCTTCTACCTCTTCCCCTTTTATCTTTTTCTCGGGCACCTCACTCTTCTCTTCTAGCTGCTTTGCCCGTTTTTGCTCTTCTAGCTGATCTTTCTCTTCCTCCTCCGCCTTTGCCCGCCTCTCCTCTGCGGCTCTTCTCTCTCTCTCCTTCGCCCTTTCTCTCTCTTCCGCCTCCCTTCTTTCTCTCTCTTGTCTTTCTCTCTCTCTCTCTGCTGCTTTTTCTTCAGCTTCAAGTCGTGCTTTCTCCTCCGCTATCTTTTGGTCTTGCTCAGCTTTCATTCTTTCTCTTTCTTCTGCTTCCAACCTGATCCTCTCTGCCTCCATCCTTTCCCTTTCTTCCTCCATCTTTTCATCACTGATCATCTCCTCTGAACCTTGCTCCCTCTCCTCTGTGTTAGGCCTGTCCGCACCCGTCTGCCCATTTTTCAATGCCACGCCCATGGTTTCCTCTTGGCGTTCTGTTGTTTTTTCTTCTACCACCACCACCTCTACCTGATTTTCCTTGATGCTCCCTGGCTTTGGCTTCTCTTCTTCCTCTCCCTCCTTTTCTTTTTCGTCTTTCTTGTTCTCTTCAGCAACCCTCCAGTCGTTCTTCTGGTAGGACTTCGTGACTATTTCTGTTTCCTCTATCTCGTATCTTTCTTGGCGACTTTCACTGATTTCTTCCTTCTCTGCATGTTCGTTTTCTTCTGTGTCGTTTTGCGTTCTTCTGCTTGGTAGCGACAAACTTGCATCCGTTATTGTGGGGTCGAACTCCTTCTGCCGCTCCAGAGCTTCTTGGAGGCGTTTTTGGCGTCTCTCCTCCCGCCGAGCCAGGCGCTCCAGGAACGCGGCCTCGTCGTCGCCCTCCACCTGAGTGTTCGCCGTGGTTGTCTTGACCTCGTCAGGCACACTGTACGACAGAAACGACAACGCCAAAGGCAGCGTGCTGATTAACCTGTCAGTTGGAGTCACGTAGCCTGATCCGTACGGGAACTATAGCGGAGGCTGGCAGTACCACGCCATGTATATCCCCTCCGCCTTAGCATAGTACTATGGGTCTGCCTGGCTTTTACCTGACAGCTATGCAAATCTTTGACCTTGATCATTCTCTGGCCACAGGAGTCTACTCGACATGCTGTGAGTATTAACGCTCTCTGGGAGCAGCCCTCAAAACAAAAACTGATGAGCATTAGTGTATAAATATCTCCGCTTCCCCTACCTTTTGAGTTGGATAACTCTGAGGCGCCCATGCCACCCTGGATCTTAGCGTTCCCAGTGGAGTTAAGCTCCAGATCCCCACAGTGGTCACCTGCTTGGTAAAGAAACCTTTATTTGGTTTCTTTCCCCTTCCTGTCTCACTCTGCCACACCACTGGGATCATTTTACAAATAAACTACATGTGTTAAAATTTGTGTTTCAGGATCTGCTTCTTAAAAAACTCAGTCTAAGACAAGGACCAAACTGACATAATGAATAAATTTCTCTAGCATTGTCTAGTATTTTCACAGGTCACCAAGTCATCAAGAATGCTTGAAGTGGATTTGTGGGACACGAAGTTCTTTGTGAGGAAGGGGGTGTATATTATAGGGTGGAAATGCTATACTTACACAGATGACCCCCATGATATAGACATGTAACTGTCTACTGCCATTCATGTTCTTCCCCCTGTAGTCACAGGAAGTGATTGCCAGTCAAGGATTATATTTTCTGCCCTCTCCTCTTCTTTGCATGTAGGTGGAGCCATGTGACCAATAATTCCCAATTGGATGTAAGTGGAATTGATGTGTCTAGACCAAGACAATTAAGAAGCAGAGGTGCATTCTCTATCCTCTCTCTCTGTCTGCTGGCTGGATCAGAGGACCCCAAAGCATTAAGAAATGACAGAGTCACAAGAGGAAAGAAAGTAGGTGATCAGTTCTACCTACTAGTCAGAGATAACCATACTGGGACTGACTGGTATGTGTTATTGCATTAAACTACTAAAATTTGGGGGCTCATTGTTATAGTAGCCCAAATTACCCTAACTAATATATACGCCATCTACACTCTGTCAAGATTTCCATGAATAAAAGGATCTTTTGCCCTTTCTATAGTAGGTGAAGAAGTTAAATTTGATGTTTATTTAAAAAGAAAAGAAAAATCTCTAAAATCCAAACTGTACCATGTTCATCACCTCATTCCCTATTGCAGGATGCTGTACACTGCCCGAGCCAGCGGTGTTGGTCTCCACTGGCAGGAAACAACCGGTCATGTGATACCGGGAACTGTGGCCAGAGTTGGAAGATTATGTTTTGCAATGTTTAGAAACTCCATCAAATTTCATGGTTCATACCGAACTTGGCCCTTTTGAAGTTCAAGTTCACTTAATTTTGGAAAAACACGTTTCACATTTAACGACAAGAAAGAGCAGAGTAAAGGCTAGATGTTAAACTTTCTTGGCCTTAAAGGCTGCTACAGGACACTGTCTCCATGAATTAGACATAAAAGGATTAAATTTCTCTGAAAATACAAATAGTTTAGAATTTAAGGGGAATGTCTCTATATATAGGCATTTGGATCAACTTAATTCAAATAATTTTTAAAAGGTATCCCAAATTCTAAAGCGCTAGCCAGATGAAAGTACTCTTGAGTTAAGAAACCAACAGACTATTGAAACTGTCTTTGCCTGTTTATAAATCTTACAGCAATCATCAGCAGAAGTTAAGTACCAGTAAGGTTGTTTATATTTCAGAGGTAAATCACATGTTCTCAGATCTTAATATGCTTTAGTGAAAAAAAAAAAAAAAGAACTTTATGTTCCATTAACAGCATGAAATAAAACTACTAATAATAAAATATGAGAAAAGAAGAGAAACACAATAGGAGAAAGATTTTAAAAGTAAGAAAACTATAGACCACGAGTAACTTCTTTAGCCGTTGCTGATCACTCACTGATAACCAGATTCAGGAAAGGCCTCAGAATGCTATTTTTAAGCTCAAGGGGGAAAAGGCAGTGAGACTATACAGCTCTCCTCTGTAAAACTCTGATACCATCTTCCCAATGATTGTTAAAATTAGGTGCTTACTATGGGCAAGGCACTGTGCGTTTTACATGTTTATTGTCTCATTTAAATTTAACAACATTCCTAAGAGAAAGGTATAATTTTTGTTTCCACTTAAGTGAAGAAATATGCTTAGCGAAAGGCTGGCCTGGGATTCAAAGCCAAGTAGTGAACCCTGGAGAACATATATATCTCCTTTGCTATGCTCTTCCCTAACTGGTAATCTAATTACCAAGTGACAAGGTCTCTATTTATCCACTTAGCCAATAAGCTTTTTTTTATTGAATTCATCCTGTCTGCCATCATTTTCAAGACTGCTTTCAGAAACCTTCTGTGTACCCACTCAAATTTGGGCTAAAAAGACCAGAACTCTTTTCCTTCAGAATTTTCTAGATAGATTAAATTAAAGGAACTATCGACAATGTCCTCTCAACACACACAAAATAAAAAACACACTAAAACCAAAACCACTCACAAGATCTTTTGTGGTGATTTCATTATATTTAATCAAGTCATGGTTGTACATTAAAATTAATTTTTTTTTCTCCACTTTCCCCAAATAGCCTCATCTTTTCTACACCTTACGGCATATAAGTGACACATACTAACCATTAGCATAATGGACTGTGTGAACTTACATGCGTGAACTTATAAAAGCTCTTTTTGAAAAAGTTGAAACTATTAAGTGGTCTCTCTTAATAGACTTCCCTGATTTCGACCAGGGCTTGTGTAAAAAAAAATGTATTTGTAAACTCATAAGCTTGTTTGAATAATTACGTTAAATTAAACAGGATTCTGCACCTGCTGATCAGAGAATATGATCCAGTCTATATATCAGGAAAAATCAGACATTTGCAATTCATGCCTGACTTTCAAATTCAGGTATCATTTGCTACTGGTAGGCACAGAGGCCTATTAAACTAATAACTCTTCAGCTCCAAACTGATAGCAATAGCCTGAAGAATGAATGTAAATAGTTCGCCTTATTTAAAAATATAACCTACTATACTTAATAAATTTTTAAAAATTACTAGGTTATAAAATACAATTCTTCAGTTGGGGTGAGTTTTGGGGAGGAGAGAGAAAGGAGGAGTGGTGCCCTAATGTCTAAACCGGTCTGGCTGTCCAATCTGATGAGTTGCTTAAAATGGGTATAAAATAATTACACGAGTTAGACAGACGGAAGAAGAGCCGCATTGAGCTGAGAAGAGAATGCTTTGCCCAATACATTCCATTCATGAGACAGGTTAACATAGGGACTTAGAAATTTTCCATTCCAAAGAAAATAGTACCTGTTCTGGGCGTTAACCTCCACCTGGTCAGTCACCTGCCCAAAAGATTCTTCCTCTTGCTTCTGCCGCAGCCTTTCCTGTCGGGCTCGGCGGCGCCGTTCCCGGGCGGCCTCTTCCTCATCGTCGTCGTTTCTCTGGTAGGCGATTCTGCACCAAACAGAAGCATCCTCTTGAGTGTACCAGCTGCCAGTCATCCTCACCAGCCTCTCGGCAGGATCAGCCCTGACTCCTCTTCTAACTTGACCACTTACTGAATGAACCACAGGGTTGTACAAGTCCTTAAGTTTAGAGCCCCCATCTGACTAGTGTTCACACTTTTAAGTATCTGAAAAGCACACATCCAGCAAAGGATAATTTGCAATAATCAAATAAACAACTTAAACTCAAAAAAATCTGCGCAAAAGCAGGTTGCCTTAAGAGACCGCGTGTTAGCATATTTAGATTTCTTGACTAAGTTGTTGATTAGAGTGTAAGATTTAGAAGCAGAAATCCAAAGCATGGAACTAAAAAGAATCAGAAGGCTTATTAAAAAGGTTCGGCATGTTGTGTGAATTATTCGTGTGGACATTGTCACCAAGGTCAGACAAGAATCAAGTTAGGTATTAATAAAACCCAAATCGCTAACTAAAATTGAGAGCAGGATACCTTCTTTGCTTGGATTTTATTTTTTTCCTTTTAGTTCCTTTTCACAGGAGAGAGAAGTTTTTTTTGACAACTGGTAGGCTTCAAAGCCAGTGCAGCTGCCTTTAAGGCCCCCTCTTTTGTATCCCACCTGCATGGCAACCCATGGGTGTATATTTAATAGAAACCTACGGGCTAAGGCAGGTAGAAGAGGCACAGAGGGCTTCAACGCATACGTGTTCTTTAGCTTTCATAGTTTCAGCTGAAGCAAATGCCTATTTCGAGAAATTATACAATCAATATCGCTATGTTAGATACATTTCCCTTAATATTTACTCCCAAATAAAGAACAGAGCTGGGGAACTACAGATGCCCAAACTCAAGAGGCAATGACCTGCATGGTTAATGACCTGCACTGATGACTTTTGAAGGAGTATTGTGAATTGAGATAGACTTTCAGGAAGGCATGGGTGGTGCTGGCTGGCCCCAGGACGAACTGGCCTGATGGGTCCACAGGCTGGGATGGAGCTGCCTTGTGCAGCAGGCTGCTTATTACATTAGAGAGTTAGTGTTTTTATGTTACTTACGTATCTACAGATAGAGATTCAGATATGTAAACATTTCGTGTTTATAATTCTTCTATGACACCAAAAGTAAAATAATTTACAAATGAAAGAAAATAAAACAGCAGAACCATACAATTTACACCAACAATGTGAACCTAATGCGAGTGATATTGGTTTGCTCACGTTAGATTTGCACGCCAGGCATTTCTACGCTTAGAGTATTGCTGTACTTCATCTGTTTCTGTCTTTTGACATCGATCATACAAATACTATGAATGTTTTTTCACCTAGGTGTCTTATAGAAACCAGGATGAACAATTTCTAAAGTTGTTTGATTTACTCTTTGCTACTTGGGAAAATCTGAATTCACACTTACTAAAATCTGCTAATGGGCAATACCCAAGTGACAATATGAAGAAAATGTCATTGACTGGTTTATTCCAGCAAATGTGGCGAGAAGGGCAGTGTGATGGAGTTAGTACTTGGAAAACCTAGCTCGCGGCCCTTCGATTATTAACCTGAGTTACATTTCCTTGTGTGTAAGCGCGTGACAATCAAATGATATGTTATGGTAAGGCACCGTTCGGTGTGATATTTCTCTCGTTTTAGGAAAGTGCAGTTGAGGAACCGCTTCGTGAGGCAAGACGAGTTCAATTTTAGACTTGTTGAACTCGAGGCGACGGCATGACATGATTCGAATGTCCCCTTCTAATTCAATCACATTGTAGTCTGCAGTCAGTTGAAAGACCTTCTCAGTGGTTTGGCTTTAATCTTCAGATTCTTGGCCTGATCCTCCTTTGGCTTATTTCTCTGTAGACAGCTTTAACCACAGCAGGGTCCTGAATGACTGCTTCCCAAGCTAATCAAACACAAAGTCTTAATACGTTCTTCTAGGTCTCCGGAGCAGCCAGGAGAGCTTGGCTATTACTGGGACCTTCCTTTTCCAAGACAAGCAAGAGGCATAAAAGCTCCATCCGGGACACTCTATGCTCCAAACAAAACGCCTCCCCTCCTCTGCAGAACCTCATTTTTAGCCCTTAATTCCCCACTATACTTGAACAATTCGAGATGTTACTCTCTCTCTCCTAATGTGCTTGGTGGCTGGATGTTGGTGGCTTTTGACCCTGACACAAACCCAATTTGCCATCACGTCCAGGTCACACTCCACCTTTCTTCTTTTTCGATTTCTCGTCGGAGGAGTAACCCGAACAACCAGGTCAGCTCCACAGTCTCTCCTAACTCTTCTCGCTTGGTGCAGCTTAAAATTTACAGCTGCTCACTCGCCATTGGTAGCCCATGCCGAGGTTACGCAGTTACCAGAACTAGATTTTTAAAGATCTGTTATTACTACTGATACATAAACATATTAAAATTGTTTTCAAAGTTGAGAACAAAAAGGAGCCAAAATGGCTTCGTGAGTTTTGAACATGCCCAGTTGCTGGCTCATTAACATACCAATTGACTTTAGAAGTGAAATTGGGTTCGTGCCAAGTGACTTGATACTATCTGGAAATTCTTCAAATGTGAGACTTCCTTCATCAGCCCTCAACGTGCAAAAGCCTGGTCGCTTCTTAGCTTTCAATCTGTCACACAGCAAACTACTCTCCGCACTGCTACCGCAGGTTTATTTATTTATTTTCTTTCAAAATCGAAAAACTTAATTGCTTATTTTTTCCTGATCCTAAAAGTAATATACACCTATTATTTTCTTAAACCAGACAATACAAAACATATAAAAGATAAAGTAAAAATTAACTCCCTAATCACAACACTCAGTTATAAACATGATTAATATTTGATGTATTCTACCAGACATTTTTCTATGCGTCACAGATACTTTTGTAACAAAGTGGGTTTATGTTATATATGTGTGTGTATTACACATATATACACACACACACATAATTTTATAAAGTTTCTTTAGTTTACCTTATTTATAATTACTTTTTAACCTATTAACAAAATACAGTTTCAACGGCAACACAGTATTCTATATATAGATGTACACAGTTATTATATGGATGTACTTATATAATCTCTTTAACCAGTTTTCTACTGATGGACAGTTAAGAGATTTTTCCAACTTTTATGTTCTTATAAACAATGCTGCAAGGACATCATTATAGATATACTTTTACCACTTGTTCAATTATTCAGCCAGCAAAAATTTTCAGAAGTAAGAATTTCTGAGTTTTAAGAGTAGGCTCACTTTAAAGACTTTTGATGCACATTGACAAACTGCCATCCAGAAAGGTATGTAACACCAGCAATGTGTGTGAGTGCTAATTTCACCATCAGTAGAATTTACTCCAAAAGACAGACGAGTACACAGCATCCTTAATACCGTCAAATGCTAGCACAACAGCCTCTGCTTTATATGCTTGAGTTGAAGGCAAAATGTTAACATTTCTAATTTTCCACACATGAGAATTTCAATGTGTTTGAAATGCTGCTGACTAGTAAAAATCATACCTAACCGCCCACCGGATTATAATAAAAGCATAACAATCCATTTGTTCCTTCTGTGAAACCTCAGCAGATGCCGGCATTAACCAGTCTGCTGGTGCTCTCCACTACAAAGACGGCGGATGTTCCCAGATGATTCAGAGGCAGTGAGGACTTGAAGACCCTCTGAATCATCCGGGAAAGAGAAAACCATGTTTATTAGAGTTTTAATCAAATGCATTTTATTTAAAAAGAACAGGTAGCCCCAAACGATGTGGCTCTCTATTAAATGAAATGTTCGATTGACCAGGATCCACGACGTTCCCACCCATGCTGGGTGTAAGCAGGTTTACTACGGGGCACCATGCCTTGTTTTTTGGTACCTGCCTTTGCTCATCTCTCGGCATGAACACTTGGAGAAAGGTGGGATCAGCTTTACTGCTGGAGGCCAGTGCTGCTGGCAGCAAAATGGCTCATCAAATATTCTGGAGAAAGAGAGAATGGTTTAGTGTGTGTGTGTGTGTGTGTGTGTGTGTGTGTGTGTGTGTGTGTGTGAGAGAGAGAGAGAGAGAGAGAGAGAGAGAGAGAGAGAGAGAGAGAGAGAGAGAGAGAGAGGGAATAAGTGTTAAACAATCTCAAAAGTCCAAAATGATTTCATGATGTTATTTGATTGTGTCAGTGGTATGAACAAAGTAGAGAGAACTGGCTTTTCTTCCATTCCCAGAACCACTGCTTAAAGGCTCTGGTGTTAAATTATAAGAAAAAACAGATCTATGCAATGGGAAAACTCTCTTGGAATGTTGTGGCTTTCGCACCAAAGACATTTGAAGTCTCTACCACCAGAGAACTACAGCCTCAGTATATTCAAGTAACAAGGTAATCACGTTACATGTTGTGCCTTTTAGATAGTTTGAATAAAGAAAAGTATTGCAGCTGTGGCAAATAAGGAAATCACTGAGGAATTAGTGTCTTTATATTCGGATGAGCCAGGGTCTCAATGTATACTGAATGAGAGAAAGAGGACGTGACCAAGCTTCCACAGTAAGACACTGGAGCAAGGCACATGTTGTCACCTTGCCTCGTGTCCCTCTTCCCCCATCTTCCCCGCTGAATGCATCCTAAGACTTGTGCAGCACCAGAAAAGTTTCATCTACAGTACAGGTTGCTTTATTTTGTTTTTACCCCACATTCTGCATGATTTGAAAAATGTTGCTCTCATTTCTTTTCGGTCTGCCTCTTTTTCCATTTTGCTATTTTCTGATTTGAGACGATAGTACGTGATCCTTGAAATTGTCAAGTAAAAATGCTGGCCATAGTATTTCATTAACAAAACAAGATATCTTATCAGGAAACCACGTTTAAGAATAGAATAAGACAAAGGAATAACCATTTTTATGAGGAGGCTGTTTTTACTATGTGTTTAAGAGCATTAAAGACCCAGAGAGGATGAAAAAGAATCGTTAAGTTTATACCGAGTACAAATTTACTTATTTTCTGTTGACAATTACAGTGCTA